TTAAACTTGTAATCTCATACTGATAATTCTCCTTAAAGTCAGTTTATAATAAGATCTCCTCTAATTTTTTTATATCTGTGTAGATAATTCTTATTATGTCCTTAATGTAGTAACTAACTTGACAAATGATGTTTTTAGATGTTTTCTTGTTTTTTATTTTGTATTATATATTTTTTATTTTGAAAATTGGAAAAACCTTCTTTTCTTCTTACCTATCGCTGCGGAGATTTGCAAAACTGTGATTTTTTTTAATATTTTTGTTTCAAATGTGATTTTTTAAAATAATTATTGAAACATATTTTTACTTTTATATTTCCAAAATTTATTTTTAAAAATAATTTTATAAAATTATTCTGAGAATTAATAATCTCATAATTTTTTAGACCAGGCTGTATTACAATATAATTACTATTTTCAAGTTTTGCTGGAAAGATTCTTACTGTTAATCTTGATAATTTCTATTTTTTTTCGACATATTGTTCATAGCTTCATCCCACTTTAGGTCAAAAGGAAAAACTTCGTTCTCCTCTTGTACTATTCATGAAATAGAAAGAGAATACTTTTATCCTGTTTATAAATTATATCATTAAATTTTTAATATAAATGTACCAATTTATTCTTTACTTATTCTTGGGAAGATCATTACCATTTTCTTGAAAAGTGTATATGCTCCTCTGATCCCATCCTATTGATAAGGCAAAGAAAACATATCTTTTTAATCCTATTTTAGTCGTCACGTCATTAAATGTTTAGAATAAATGTAATATTTTTTTCTTGATTTATTATATAGTGTAGATTGTTATTTTCTTGGAAAGTGTGTATATCTGAAATACAAGTAAAGTTGAAATATTATTAGAGTTAATTTAGTTTAAGATTTTTATTGATTCACGCAGAATGTGCTGAAAATACCCTCTAAATAAAATCAGAGGTAAAAGCAAAGTTAGAAAATTGTTAGATTTTGAGATAATATTGATAAAAGTTTAAGATTTTTCTTAATTCTAGTAACAAATCACTTTCAACATATTTCACTAAAATTAAAAAAAATTATAAAGCCTATTAATTATACTTTAAAATTCAACAATTTTCAACTTCATTTCATTTAATATATAACATGTCTTATAAAAATAAAATCTACGTAATAATAAACGAATGGTAAAACTATATATTTAAACATATCTTTTAAAAAATGATAAAATCTATGTAAGAGGGCAACATAACTTCAATACTTGAGTTGATTTTACCTGCTTTTCAGTTTTATTTTGCAACATCATTATTATCTATATATTATTTTTCAATTTATATTACTTAATTAATCATTTTTAACAATAAAATTGTTCTGCTTTTTATGATCTAGTGTGCATAAATATATTGGATAATTATAATTTTCGTAACTAAAAGTTGTTAGTAGTACAAGTCTTTGAAAGGCAATTGAGATTGTTTTTGTTGATTTTGTTGATCACAATAAACCCACGCTTGGATTTGTCGTAGAAAAAAGCCAGTTGCCTAACAATCTTAGCTTACATTACTTTCGATCCTAATTATAAAATCTTATTTGTAGACTATAAATAAGGTCTTATAATTAGGATTAGAGATAGTAATTAAAATTATAATTTTCCTACTAGCATCAGAAGTAGAAAAGTTTGTTTTTTAGAAAAATCTCACCCTTTTACATTGATTATAAAACCCATATGAAAAGTCAATCACTTTTTACATCTGCTTCATCTCCATCGGTCATAGAACCACTAGTGTTAACAGGCTTTTTTAAAGTACGTTGGGAAAAAAACCCTTTCTACATTATTAGTGTTTCTTGAACGAATCCAATATAATTAATCAGTATTTAATTTCCACAAGGTTTTTTCCCAGGAAAGTGTCATGATGCTGCATGCAAATGCGAAATAAGGAAAATTCCTTTTGATTTCTTAATTAATTAGTTTCCACAACCATGTATATCCAATAATATTCTTGTTCATCATCCTCAGTTACTTTGAATTATGACGAACTCAAAATATTCTTTTGGCCAAGTCTTGTTGAATATTTTTCTATCATCATCATCATTAATAGCTATTAATTAATACAAATAATTAGTGGCCGGCATAAACCCTGAGCACATCTTTAGTTTCTCCATTTTTGTCCTGCTTTATGCAAACATAGTTGTTAAGGGTTTTTCCTGGTTATTAAGCTTTGGGCAAGCAAAGAAGAACAGAGGAATGGAATTATTATGGGTGTGGAAATTAAAGACAAAGAACAGAATTATATTGTACAAAATATATGGTATCTACATTGTACAAAATTTTCCTAATTAAACTTTTGACCTCATGTTGATAATTCTCCTTAAAGTCAGTTTATAATAAGATCTCCTCTAATTTTTCACATTTGCGTGGATAATTCTTATTATGTTGTTAATGTAGTAACTAACTTGACAAATGATATTCTTAGATGTTTTCTTATTTTTGATTTTGTATTATATATTTTTTATTTTGAAAAATTAGAAAAACCTTCTTTTCTTCTTATCTATAGCTCGCTGCGTATTGCCGCCAGCGGACTTGCAAGATGTGATTTTTTTAAAAATATTTTTTTTGTTTCAAATGTGACTTTTTAAAATAATTATCAAAACATATTTTTGTTTTTATATTTCCAAAATTTATTTTAGAAAATTATTCTGAGAACAAATAATCTCATAATTTTTTTCCCCTAAATCACGACATGGGTTGCTGCTAAAGAGGCATGAGAAGGTCAAATCAAACACGATAACAATTGGCATTTGCGTCTTCCTTTGTTTCTTTCTATAAGAAAAAGAAAAATGTGGATGTGATTGGAGAAGGGATGACAAGTGTGGAAAATAAGATGGTAGACATTTATGTACAACGTTGTGTTCCTTTCTCTTTCCTCATAATAAAACAAAACAGAGTTTGGTAATCCACATAATGCTAACATCTCAACATGTGTATTGTACAATTCAAAATCCATTCATTCATGTTCATGACATCTACCAAATCAAATTACCAATTGCTTCAGCAGCCTGGTAAATCCATTGAATGAAACTTAACCCAAAAAAAAAAAAGTGCTAATGGTCTTGTAACTTACTTAGCAATATAAAATTGAGCTGAGAGTATGATTAATTAAAGGTTGAGCTGTTGAAGTGATTGTAATTTATCAGTAATTTATTTTAATATTTTCCATTACTATCATTAATAAGTAATAGTAATACTAAGTTTGTTTTTACTACCACTACTATTAAGCTAAAGTACACATTTGGTCATTTAATTTTATATAAGATTTTAGTTTGGTCCATTGACTTTAAAAAGTATATTTTTAATTCTTTAACTCTAAAATTGCTAGTATTAAATATTGATTTTTTGCAGCAGTTAGGTTATTTTAAAAATTAAACTTAATATGTTAGAATATGATTTTTAATTTATAAACATTCAAATTTTAATATCATATTTTTTGTTAACTGAGGACTAAAAATATGTTTTTTTTAAATTTAAGAGACCAAACCAAAATTATGTATCAATTTTAAAAAACTAAAAATAATAATAATAGTAATTATTATTATTATTATATTAATTTGGGCTTCAATACATGCTCTTGTTTGGTGAGTTTCACCAATATATATGAAGTTGTAGGCTAGAACCTGGATGGGCTGGCCCAGACAGGAACTTTCAGTGGCGAGAGCTGTTGTTCGAATAAAAGGCTGGGCCTACTTTCCCAATTCGAACATAGGCCCAAAATGGCCCATGAAGCCCAAATTAATGGAAAATTAATTCGAACATGGGCCTAGTTTTGCAGCTTGTGCGGCCAACTCCTTCCGTAACTCGTGAGTGCGCCATCAACGTTGTGGAGTCCGTATTAGAAGAGATATTCATATTTAATGTCTGATAATATTTTAAATAAGATTATCTCTAATTAAAAAATATATGTGCTTTCAAAAAAAAATCTTGTAAGCGTCGCAACCATTAGAGAAGTTGGTCCAATGAGGTCAATTAATATTAAGATTGTGAAAACGAATTTTTCCATATCACATTACGACAAAAAAATCCCATGAACAGTCAATTTTGTAATATTGTAATATAATTTTTTTGACCAGGCTGTATTATCATATAATTACTATTTTCACAAAAAAAAATTATGCAGAATGGTTTAATAAAACAGTATTCAAAACTTTCCTGTATTTTTTTAAAACTTTGTGCAGATGAGTTCTTTTATTATTATTCTTTGATATTATTATTCTATATTTTATTTGTAATACAATGAGATTTGTTAAGAGAAAATCCTAATTAAATCCATTTGAAACAACAAAATCCTAATTTAAGTCTATACTTTTAACAAATTCTTAATTAGGCCAAGAGGCCTAATTAGAGATTTCTAAATGTTGTTAAAAGACCAAAATGCCATTCATTATTAAAAAGCCTAATTTTAGTTTTAATTCTTTTAACTGAATTTAACTAACATGTTTTTTCTTTAAACATTATTATATGAAAATTTGGCAAAAAAACATTATCATATAAAAAACAAAACAAAAAAAGAAAAATCACGATTATGGCCAATAAAAAATAATTGAAAAGTCAAGATAAAAAAAACATAATTTCTAGATATTCATAGAATTACAAAAATATGGGAACTAATAAAAATTTTACGATTTCAAATATCAAAGATTAATAGGATCAAAGATCTTTTTTTTGTGCAAGAAAAAATCAAATCAAAGATTCACAGAATTCTTAAATATCTATCAAAATTAATTTTACTATTTCACAGGTTACATTGAGACTCATCAATTCATCTTCAATTTTTCGGTCCCTAAGATTTATTCAATATCAAATTTTTATTATATAAAAAATAACTAAAAGGCTATAAATTTTAGAGTTGACATAACGTTCACAACAACGAAACACAACTTTGACATAAAATCTAAAAAAGACCACATCCTCATTAGTCATCATGTGCATCAATAATCACATTACATATGCCCCCAAAAAAATTAGCTATTTGCTAGACCAATTTCAACAAGGATTTGGATTCTTGCAAGTCTTTTTTGTATGACCAGCTTGATGGCATCTTGAACAGTGGTATGTTTTTGTGTTTTGGAATTGTGATTCGTGCCTCGTAGTTCTTGGTCTTCCAGGAAGTCGACTAGTCTGAGGTGGTTGGAGGAAAATTTGTCCCATTATATTTTCCATCCTTAAGTTATTTGGGTTTGGCATATCAATGGTTATAACAGGTATCATGCTCCTTTTATAAATCTTCTCTTGTGTTGTAATCTTGTAGCAGTCTTCAATATAATCATACACATTACCATGTACGAGTTTGATGGCTGTACAAGCGTGTGGACATGGAATTCCAGACATTTGCCATGCTGCACAACTGCATTGATGTGCACGAAGATCAACCTGTAAGTCTCCAAAATATGTATGAACACAAATCATGTCTCCATAATGTTCAGCTAACATTTGTTCAGCTCTAGCCACATGATCTCTCACTTTTGATTCTATGTTTGGACCAACAATAGTTTTCCACTTCCTCATTGCCATACTTGATGCATACATTTTCTTTGCTACCTTTTCTCGATGCTCATGGATCAATTGAGCAACATTATGCCTCCTCTCTTTCACCATCCATGCATTGAACGACTCAGCAAGATTTGTTGTTATATTGTCCCATCGTCTAAATGGAAACTTGCTTAAAGCCCACCTATCAACATCCCCATGATTCTCAAGCCACTGAAATAATTGTGAAGAGAAACTTCTCATATTTTCCATAGCATCATTGAACTCACTTTCAAGCCTTGCATATGCAATGTCATCAAGCAATTTTAGCGTATCATCCTTGCTCTGGGCACTTGTCCTTTTCTTACCTCTATTTAATTTCATCAATTCTGCACTAAAGTTTTCCTTCACGTGTCGATAGCAAAATGCATGACGCTCACCACCAAATATTTCCCGTACAGCTCTTATTATAGCATTGTGACGGTCTGAAACAATTGTCAATTCAACTAATCCTATTATCTTTTTAATCATAACCAAAAACCATATCCAGTCCTCATATGTCTCTCCTTTTACAATACCAATTGCAAATGGCAACAATTCATTATCTGCATCATATGCGGAGGCTGATAGCAAGGTGCCCTTATACGGGCCACTTAAATGAGTTCCATCTATATATAGTATATGTCTTGCCCCAATCATGAATCTTTCTACACAACCATATGCTATGAAGACACGCTCAAAAATGTTATTATGAGAAGCTACCCATTCAGCCACAGTTTTTGGATCAGTATCCTTTAACCGTTGACATATCCATGGTATAAGCATATAAGACTGCTCTGGTCTACCCTGAATCTCCTCAAGTGCTTTTTCCTTAGCAGCATATGCTTGTTTATATGTGAGATTCACACCATAGTCTCTTTGTAATGTCTTCTTAATTTCGTTTGGACCCTTGTCTATGTGAGACCTTACCTCCTCAATTATAATAGATGACGTTAGACTAGCTCTTCGAGCATGTATCACTTGAAGGTTGTCTTGAGCATGATGAACGTGTTCATCTTGAAATTGTGTCACACGTAGGAAAGGAGTTTGCTTCCCTATCGCATTTGTTGTTATCTTCCAAGGACACCCTTCAATTTTACATTTCACAGACATCCTATCCTTGCTATTCTTCAAAAAATTGTATTGAAACTTGTGAGCAATACTATACTTGTAGAGTGCCTCTCTAAAAGCATCAGCATTTGCAAATGTTTGCAATACTCCTGACAACAATTTTTTCCATTTCAATGAGTTCAATTCAGGCATGGGTGTGGGTGCACTTTGTACTCTATAAGGTAGGCTACTATGTCCTCCAAGTGCTTCATTTGTTAGAGGGCTTTGTTCTGAGCCTCCTAGCAATTCCTCTATGCTGCATAACTCAATCACAACTTTTGTTACTAACAATAACACTATAATGAATGCCAAATTTTTTATTAAAAAAAATAATTACAACAACAACAAAGTCACTTACACTTGTTGCTCATCAAATGTTTCCTGTACATTGTCATTTTCTTTGCATGCTATATACACATGCCCACTTCTCTCATTATGTTGAAATAGGTTTGCAAGTTCCGCATCATCAATAAGATCTATTAGGGTCTTCTCATCAAAAGTCACAGTGTATTTCATCTCGACATTATTACCATCAATGCCAATCCATGATGTTATCATTATTCTCATTTCTTCAAGTGTCATCCCCTCTCTTATGGTTTTTAATCTTACTCTCCCTCCATTATATTGAATTTGACCTTCAACATTCTTCACAAATTGCCCATCTACATGAAAAAAACAAAATAGTTCTTTTGCAAATGTTGATTTGGAAGGAGATGTCATTTTTAATACCAACCTACAATGAATAAATTAATTTAATCAGTATTTTGATTGGATTTAATTGAAAATTTTTAAAAAAATAATATGATTAACACATGACTAAAAATGGTTGATAGGTTAACTAATAACTAATGGATAAAAAATATGAGTATTCGTGTGATTGTTCAACAACTTCCACATACAACATTTTATATTTTCGAATGTGAGAGTTTATCAAAAAGATATAAACTTAACATTGCTCAATGAATCTCTCATGAATCATGTAATCAACGCAAACATATTGATCATTTAATTAGGTTTGAAGTTGGTCGGGAAGAAAAGCTTCCATTAGGTTTGGAGATTCACAATGGTTAGCACAGATGCAGATGATCATATGTAATTATATATTATCTCAAGGATTATTATACTTTCAACTTTAAATCAAAACAATGGCACAAACTAAAACATGAATAAGATATTGGTTCATACCGTAGGAATGTTATTTCAAAGATGATTCTTCTTTTGCTTGCTGTGCCAGTTCTCCTTCCACTAGAAGTATCGCCAGCGAGCCTTCTCTTCTCAAGCAAAAAAAATGATGAATTTATCAATCGTTACGTGATTTGACAAAACATAAATTTAATATTGATAGATATGGAAGAATTCGATGAATCTTTAATTCATTATCATGTTTTTTTTTATCTTGATTTTTAATTTTTTTTATTAAAAAATTTCAATAAATCTACTAGAATAACTAAATTAAAATCAAGTAGATTTAATTGAAATTGAAGATGAATTGATGAGTCTCAATGTAATTTTTGAAATAGTAAAATTAATTTTAATAGATATTCAAGAATTCCGTGAATCTTTGATTTGATTTTTTTCTTACACCCAAAAAAAAAAAATCTTTCATCCTATCAATCTTTGATATTTAAAATCGTAAAATTTTTATTAGTTCCCATATTTTTATAATTCTATGGATATCTAGAAATTATGTTTTTTTTTATCTTGACTTTTCAATTATTTTTTATTGGTCATAATGTGATTTTTCTTTTTTTTTTTTTTTATATGATAATGTTTTTGGCCAAATTTTCATATGATAATGTTTAAATAAAAAAAACATGTTAGTTAAATTCAGTTAAAAGAGTTAAAACTAAAATTAGGCTTTTTAATTACAAAGGGCATTTTGGTCTTTTAGCAACATTTAGAAATCCCCAATAAGGCCTCTTGGCCTAATTAAGAATTTGTTAAAAGTGTAGGCTTAAATTAGGATTTTACTATTTCAAATGGATTTAATTAGAATTTTCCCATTTGTTAATCTAATTATTTATAATTTTAATTATTTATTGAAAGTAATTACTCTTTCGGTGCTTAATATAAGACCCAATTCTTAAGTTAGTTTTGATTCTAAATATAAGACCCATTTCTCATATTTATTAATTTTTTCTAAATTACTCCAGTGGATACTCTATCAACCATAATCAAATAGAAGAAGAAGAGAGGGTATTAAGAAAGATAATTATGATGTTTTAGGAAAAATGTGTTACATTTCTTATAATTAACTAACTTACATAACTTTCTTAATCCAATCAAATTAGTTAAATAGATCTTATATTAAGGATCAGAGGAATACTAAAGAAGTGATAAGGTTTTATAATTAATATAAACGAAAATTATATTTTTAGATATGTGCGGGTATGGGTGTGTTCCATATTTTTCGTAAAAATAAATGGGACCCGGGGTTTGCGTCGGATTGCTCATAAATTGACAGATTAGGAGAAAAATATGGTCCCAAAAATGAAAATTCCAAAAGCTGATGAAGTTGATGTTCCTATTTTGTCCCCGGGATAATGGGCCTGGATGCTCTCTGTCTTTAACTATCAATGCCAATCATATTGCTTGTAGCAGTTAGCCTGTTTTGCTTGGGTTATGCGGCATGGTTTGGAAGGAGAGAAATAGGGTGGTTTTTGAGTGAAAAACACCTGATCCCAGGCTGGTTATTGACACTGTAAATAGAGCTGCGGATGAGTATTGGAGAGCAAAGGGATGGGCAGTACAGATTGGGAGCAATGCTGAGAAGCCCGCTGATGCTAAAGTACTATTTGGTACGAAGAAAATGAGAAGGGTAGGAAGAAATTTTTTTTAATGAGTTCTATTTAAAAAATTAGAAAGGTGGGTTTTTAAAATTTTCATGAGGAGAAGAAGTAATATAAAAGAGTAATAAAAATTAATTAAAAACTTTTAACCCCACCTTTTTTATTTTTTAATCGAGCTTATTAAAATTTTTTCTCGCCTCTCCTCTTTTTTATTTTCTCCCGTACCAAACAGATCCTAAAAAAAGGAGCTATCCAGACCGTGGTAAGTTAAAAATGCATTATTTTGTTTTAAAAACAAAGAAAAATAAATGGGACTGAACAGATATATTTTTTCCCAAATTCATGACTGGGTGAGTAATAACTATCAAACATGACTTGAATAATATAATAACAAATAACAACTGACTAGCCAATAATAATACTCCTCCGGTCCTTAATATAGAACCTAATTGTTGAGTTGGTTTTGATTTTAAATATAAGACACATATCTCATATTTATCAATTTTCTCTAAATTACCCCTATGGATACTCTCTCAATCATAATCAAGTAGAAGAGGGAGAGAGGATTAAGAAAGATGATTATGATGTTTTAGGAAAAATGTGTTACCTTTTTTATAATTAACTAACTTACCTAACTTTGTTAATATAATCAAATTAGCTAAATAAGTCTTATATTAAGGACCAGAAGAGTACTATTTAAGTTAATGACCATTGTTTTCACAAGACACCCATTTGTTCAATGGCAAGTTTAATCATGAATTACTAGAACGGCACAGCCAATAACAACAATTAATTAGCAAATGATATGGAGTTTGAGTGATCCAGGTCGCCAGAGCATCGGTCGTCGCCGACGGCAACCACTTGTGACCAACAAATTGGGGGGGGGGATTTTTTTTTTATGAGGGAAAAAATGTCTATTTACCAAATTTTGAAATTCAAATGAGTGCAGGGGCATTTAATTGGTTTTTCTCCTTTTTCATAGATTCATATTTAGCTTTATAATAACGATCAACGATTTTTTCTTCAATAAATTCCTTAATATAATTAACTGAAATTTATCAGAGAAATAGTTCACTAATTTTCAAGTATTTAAACAAATTGATATGAATCAATATTTTTCTTTCCCTCTATTAATATTCCGTAAGTTAGGCTATTTTTTTACTGTACTTTTTTTTTTCCTTCTCTCCAACTCCGTGCCATGATCACACCATATTATCATTCACATTTTTTATTTTTCCAATTAAATTAGTTTTATTAAAATATATCTTTTTTTCACGTGAACCTTTTTGTTTTCTTTTTAACCAGCACACGTGGCCTATTTTTCGACCTTTCAAGTGCGACAGGATCACATCTGCATATTCAAAACTCCCAACGTCCCAGCCAGGTACAGTACCACTTACCGTACTGTTACCCTGTCTTCCAATTCTTAATTTATCGTCAGTTAACTGCTTTTTCTGATAAAATAATTTATTTTCTTAAGAATCAGCATTTAATTTTGTAACCCATGGTCAAAAAAGCATATAATTTTGTAACATTTCGGTAAAAACATTTTGAAAAATTAACGTGTGAGTGTTAAATGATGATGCTACAAATTATTGTCATTACTATCATTGTTATTTTAGTTTGTTTCCACTAAAACTGAAGCCTCTTTTTTTAAAAGCAATTTTTTGAAAGTATATATTTTTTTACTTAAGTTTTAATTTTTTATTATAGCAATTTTTATTAAATTCTTTAATTTTACTCTATTGGCTTCATTAGACTTTGTAACTTTATTTTGTTAGTACTGTTAGCTTTTGTGCATGAGCTAACGATGCTAATAGAACCAAGTTAAAGATGCGGTTAAGCAAAAAGATCGCGTACCAAATTAAAAATTTAAGAAAAATACAGGTACCTTCAAAATAATTTTTTTATTTATTTTTCAAGTTATACATATTGATTTGATTCTACGTATTAAACTTTCTATATGGTATTAACTCTATAAAAATATAAATGGAAAAAATTCAAATTCCTTGTTATTTAATATTTAGCACATGCTCTGCCAATTAGAAGTAGTGAGACTTTTGGTGAGATAAGTTCACAACTACTTTTATATTTGGGTAAAAAAGCACCCAGCACTCGAGTCTTTCTTCTTTTTTTTTCAGGAGCACCCACCATCCCAAATTTTTTTTTGTTTAATTTTAGGGAAAATCCCAGAAAAAGCCTTTGGAATATACCAAATCCCAGATTGGGTCTTTAAATTTTGAAAATGACAGAATGGGTCATTGACCCAATCTGTCATTTGTGAAATTCAGGCGAATAGACATTTTTGTCCCTGAGCAAAAGTGAGTAGTTATTCTCTAAACAAATCTAGGTAACGCTTATATTGTTCTAGTGATTACAAGATTCGTTGTAGTTAATAATAAGGTACCTGACAATAATAAGATACCTGACTATGAAAAAATGAGTAGTTATTTCCTACACAAATCTAGGTAATGCTTACATTGTTCTAGTGATTACAGAATTAGTTGTAGTTAATAACAAGACACCTGACTATGAAAAAGTGAGTAGTTATTCGCTACATGAATATAGGTAACACCTAAACTCTTATAATGATTCCTTGAATCATTGTAGTGAATGAATAAATGAGGACAAAATTGTCAATTCGCCTGAATTTCACAAATGACAGATTGGGTCAATGACCCATTCTGTCATTTTCGAAATTTAAGGATCCAATCTGGCATTTCTCATATTCCAAGGACCTTTTTTGGGATTTTCCCTTAATTTTACCCA